TTTGGGAAATTCAAAAAGGTAGATATTCTCATGCGCTTTGTATACAAATATTATACAGGGATATTAGTATATGTAGAATATTATAGAACAACTTAAATAACTTAAATATCAATAATAACTAATAACTATGGATTTTACGGTATATATCGGGATTATAGTCAAGAAATGAGATGAAGCAAAGTGTTTCCTTACACTATATATTAATTATTTAGAATCCGATTTTCTCTCCATCCTTTTTATTAAATTAAAACTAGTAAAAACACGAAAATTAACTAGAAGAGTATTCTGCAAAACCCCGTTTTAATCTACATCGCACATTTCAGGATAAATATCGTAAACCGTATAATTAACCTAAATTAGATCAAATGAATTCCGAAAGTTTTCATTAACCGGAAATATAATTACTTCCTATTCATAAAGGTATTATATTCCTGTCAGAAATTCCGAAATAAGATCGAGCATGCCTACATAAAACAAAGGTAATTAAATCTAAACTAAACTGCAGAGATGTGAAACGAAATCCGGTATCGTGCTTGATAAAGCTAATTTCGCGTTTTATCCGCTTTGTTAAGAGCCGTCAAATTTTCTGTCACGTCGACTGTTTTATTTGAATAGTTTTAAGTTCGTATTTAATTTAATATGTATATATTTTATTAATTATTAAGTCAAATAATTGTTAAGTTACCAAGTGATTACCGATAGAACACAATGCGTGAGAATCAGCCAACAGTAACAGCTGATTACACTAGACACTCAAGGCGACTCAAATCGTTCTGGCTAGAGGAGTGCCGACGGTACTATGGTACTATAGATAGTAATCACACCCGCTCAAATATAAATAACGTTATATAAGATTGTATAAATTACGAGTTTTGACTTTCAAACTCACTTTTTAAAAACTAATTTTATTTTTAAAAATACTTTTATTATTTATACACATCAGTGGACATTGGCTTCTTGTAGAATCTCGTCAATGATTTCGTTAATTTGTTGGTTTTCGTAGGGATTACTGCACTTTGACCATGCATCGTCATCGAGATTTTCAAGGAATTTTTCTATAATGTGATCTGTGTGTTGGATATCTTTGGTGTGTACTTCTATTCTCGACAAAGCGTCTGTGTTAGTGTTTGCTTTTCCATTTTTATAGACTACCTCGTAATCGTATTCTTCTAGTCGAAGCCTCCATCTGACCAACTTCGAATTTGGCTTTTTCAGTGAAAATAGATATTGGAGAGGTCGATGATCTGACAAGATTTTGAACTTTCTTCCAAATAGGTAAGGTCTGAAGTATTTAGTGGCCCATACTATTGCAAGCATTTCTTTCTCGATCGTGGAATATTTGATTTTTGTCTCGTTTAATGTCCTAGAGGCGTAGGCGATTGGTTTGTCACTTCCAACAGGGCCTTGAAATAGAATGGTTTCAGTAGCAAAGTTGCTTGCATCTGTTGTAAGGAAGGTTGAAATGCTTTGTGAAATCGGGATACTGAAGCAATGGTTCGTTAGTCAAAAGGCTTTTGCAGATGTTAAAACATTTGAGAAACTCTTGAGTATGTTCGATCTTTGAGTTCTTTTTTAAACATTTGGTCAACGGCTTTGTAATCCTAGTAAAGTCCTTGATAAATTTCCGATAGTATCCAAGGATGATGGTCTAAAAGTAGGTTGAGAGTTTGTATATCTCATCGTTGGTACTGTGGTTGTTTGAAAACTTGCTGCTGACATGGTAGTGATGCTGCTGGGACAGGTTGAAATTGGGATGGTTGTGTATAGGCTGGCTGTTGTTAGTGAATATGTTGCCTTGGAGTTTGGACGTTGTGGGTTGATCTTCCATTTTGAGGTGTATTCTGATGGTAGCTTTTCTAGACATAACTAATATTATTTTCTTCCTGAATGTATTGAATGGCTGCGGTTAGGTTGATTGGCCTCATTTCTCTTATTGTAGACCCCATATGTTCTCGAAGTCCTGCCAAAAAGGTAGTTTAGACTTGTTGGCGAAAGAATTCCTGTTTGCTTCTTTTTATTTCTGAACTCTGGGTATGTACTTCAATGTAGTTTGATATGCAATTTAGAATACCCATGATTTTCTCGTAAAATTGATTTGGCGATTCATTTGGATCTTGTCGCATGTTTACTAGATTTCTTGTTAGGGTTTTTTCATTACGTTGATCTCCAAAGTTTTGGATGAGCGTATTCTTAATGTCATCTTAGCTTTCACAACCGTATATTGATATAATCTCTTTTGCTCTTCCCGTTAGTTTGTTGGTTATCCCATGGAGTAAAAACTGGTTCTGGATGTTGACCAAGTTGCTTCTATCGTAGTAATGGTTTAGAAGTAGGGTGGATACCTTGATAAATTCATACAACTCGTTTGTATTCCCATCGAAGTTAGGGAGGATGCACAGGTTCTTGACTTCGAATGGTGATAGTAGAAACGTCGGTGTTGGTTAGTGTCTCGTCTAGGTTTGAATTTGAAACCCTTAAGGAATTAAGTTTTTGTAGTAAGTCTAATTCTTCTGCACTTGAGTTAAAACTTCGTGTAGGAGTGTCTAAATCTAAGTCTGAGTCTGACATATAGTGCTTACAAGATGCGGATTATGCTGTATTGCATTCCTGGAATCTTGGTTTGCTTCCTGTTCTTACTTCGTAAGGTGAACTTCGCTTTGGTTTTCCCTTGGATGTGGGTTCTTGATTTGGATAGTGGATAAACGCTTGAAAACGACGAGGCTCTTCTAAAGGACTCTTCCACTAGCCTACTGACTGTTCTTGCACAGTTTTAAATTTTGAATCATCTTGTGCATGAACGAGCTGTCTAGCTCAATAATTAAGCGTACTGTGAGGTATTACACTAGGTCGAGTACTACTCAATACTGTGTATATAGCGACTAAATATGAGACTTGACTAGTCTACGCACATTAATCTGAGCTTTTTTCAAAGGTCATCAAACAAGAAAAAAAAACCGCCTGCTCAAAAAATAAACGTTATTAAATATATTTTTCTTGAAACATTTTTTATCTCACTTGATAATTTTGTCAAAATGGACTTGGCTGGTTTATGAATTGGATCTTTCATTTAATTAGTTAATTAGTTAGTTAGTTAATTAGTTAGGCATTTTAAACAATACTTTGCAGGTTATAAAATGCATACTTCGACATATTTAATTTATGTTTTCATTCAAAAATTCAAAATTAATTAAATTGTCCCCTTTGACCCAAACATTTGTTTCATATGAAAATTAACCAAGGAATACAATTTCGTATATTTTCGTACCAAATTCACCGCCATTTCATTATTAATTTTTTACTTTCGCTGCAAACTTTCCCCTTTAAAAAAAAACATATTACGCCATAGCCATAACTTACTGTTAAGCGATTATCATTAAAATCCGGGGCGATATTAAGCCAAAAATACCCAACTCTGATGAAGAAAAACACCCGACAACCAGGTGTGTGATTATTTATAACCTCATTATGCGCTTGCTTTGCTAGTAACTTGATAAACTATCCGAATTTCCTTCTCCACCGAGAACAGTAAAATATTCTCAACAACAACGATAGCGTAATTTGTAAATTGCAATTTTGATACATGTATTAGTGGATGATGAATAGGATGTGTGTGATGCATTTAGGAAAATTAATTGTTTGATGGAGATTTACTACCGATCTTGATAAAATATGTGTCTACATCATATTATTCACTATATATTTGGCGCTTAAGTACAACAGAATCGTTGGCTTTAATTTGATTAGAATTTACAATGATATACTATTTGAATCATAATCTCATAGTACAGATTTTAAACCATCGAAAACAACAATTATATAAACAAAATTAGAAAAAAGAGGTAAATAAAACAAGGGTGGTCCTCAAGATCTCACAAGAGTAATTTAATACGACCGGTTTCGAGGAGATCAGATCCTCATCATCATCAGGTATGGTCTAAAATAGATAGGTAAAAACGAATGAGCTCATAACTAATAAAGTGGGTTTAAAAAATTATGAAATTTGTCAAATATCAAGAAGTCACCCGTATTACTCATCTATTTAAGACTAAGCTTAGAGATTATCACAGGGTCGGTGTAAAAAACAAGTATGCGAGTATGTCAAAACACAAGTAGGTCTAAAACTATTAATTAAATTAGAAAACGTTATTATTGCTGTTTTATTTATTATTACTACTTTCTTTATGACTATTTAGTAATAAATCGATTCTTGTCCTATTTTTAGTTGAAAAATTAAATACAATATTTCACTGTTTTCCATTCTTCCCTTAGTTGCACAAATTGTATGGTGAAACTATTGATGTAAATTCTATGATCAAAGTAAATGAGATTACTGTGATCAAATTATCTGAATTTGACATTTAAAGAATGCAGATTCTATTGGGTATATTATAAATCACGATTTAAGAAAATATTTAAAATGAATTATAGAAAAACAGTTTGAAATGAGCAACAATAATATAATGTTAGCTCAAATTAAACTATCATTAACCTGTTTAATGATATTGTAATAGAAATGATAGAAAATCTAGTAGAAAATATTGTGGTTGATAGACAATGAGCATGTTTTGAATGAATTAAAGTTTTAAACAAAAGTTTTGAATAAAAGTTCTAAATAAAAGTTTTGAATAAAAGGGAATTTTTCGATTATTTAATAGGAATCAAATATCTCCGCTCCTAGACAAAAACATATTTTCTCTTTTAGACATGTTAAAGTGGTATTTGTACCTAACTTATGCTAGAAAAAGAAATACGTTTTTATGTCTATGAGCGGAGATATTTGATTCCTATTAAATAATCGGAAAATTCCCTTAGGTTTTCTTTAAATACATTATAAGTTCTATTTGTAATAATAAATATACGAAAAAAATAAAATCTTAACGAGTTTCAATTGATTATTATACTGTAAAATTTATAAAAAATTACATTATATCGGGTGTTTATAACGCTATAAGTTTAAAATAGTTAATTTATTCAAAATTTCATAATATCCTTTGTTTTAGTTATGCTACGGAGCCAGTTCACCAGCTCTGTCAGACAGAAATCGATTCCCAACCCTATTTCGCACCCACCCCTCCGCTACTGTGCACAATCCCACAAGGATCAAGCTCATGAAGAAGTTCAACTGGTCCAGGATATCCATCCTGCAGCAAGCCGAGGAAGTATTCATCTCTACGGTGGAGGATCTCGAGAGGAGATGCATGGAAGCTGGTAAGTTTAATTTGTTACTGTAATTTTTACCAATCCACATACATAATTTAATTTCGCAATATATACAACCTTTTACTTTTTTACCTCATCACACATATTAAGGGTCGATCTTTTCACCTCTTAGTAAAGTTACATGTAGGTTTATTTCACAGATTAACAAATAATGGCCCTATAGTTTAATCAGCAAGAAGTTACTTTCAAGTTTACTCAAAAGTCTTGTCTTCCTTCTGTAAAATCTATAATTTTAATTTCAGTGACAGTCTTAATAGGAAGTAAAGATTAAACTCAACTTACTCTGGTTTCCTGGCAACCGAGGTTGCTATAGTACTTGCTGGGTATTTTATTTTTTAAAGTAACAAATACTAAACATATAAATACTATATTAAAACTGTTTACACCTCTTGATAACTCTCTAAAATACGATTTTTGTCAAGTATCCACACTACTTTTAACTTATAAACTCATTGTATACACGTGCCAACAGCTAGAGATAAGAAAAAGTCGACGGAAGTTTCTTTCGAACTTGTTCTAACTTCCCAGAAGCGGAATTCATGTAGTTTTACATAAGGATGCCTAGCTTTCGCGAAAGAATTTCCTAATAGCGCCAGAAGAATGTGAGGAGTTGAACCAATAAAAATGCAAATGCAGCGGTTGCAGAGTCGCCCGTTGGGAAGCGCTGAAAATTTATTTAACTTATGGACGTTGTTGTTTTGCCAAGAATAACGCCATCTATACGACGCACAGTAGGATTAAACCGATAAAAAGTTGGACGAAATACCGGAAACTGGATATCTATATCGAAAATTTTAAAATAAATGTCCACTAACAAGTTAGATTGGATGAAATTAGACAGTATTGTAACTATAACACAACTGGTATACCAAATAAAATAATTATCTGAATTACTCCCCTTACTAAATGTCGAAGAGACGCAAAACCCATTCAATAATGGTAAAACTAATTGGGAAGATTTTCAAATACTAGAAGACTAACATAAAAATCATTAACAACCACATCACAACGTTTGGCGAAGAAAATTGTGGCGCAATGAACACAGTACTTATTCGCGAACCATGCGAAAAATTTGAGTATCCAGACTGTGCTCCTAATATCAATAATCTGATATCCCCATAACAAACCTAACTTGATTTTATTCTTAAATTTTTATTTTACCCCATTTTTTTATCCTTCAGAAATGTACATCTATAAAAATATATATAAAAATCTACATATTACATATTATTACTGTGTTCTTGGCCCTGCTGTGCTTAAGTATGTGGTAGAGACAATTTGTATGTAGTCCGCCATGTTGTAGAAGCGATTGAAGTGCAGAAAAATAAAATCCAATGTCTAGTATGTCTTAAAAATAACACTACTTAAAGTGCATATTCAGAAATAGCAGCGAGAAATACTGCATTGCTCGAGAAACGTTTCAAATATGCTCCACAAGAAAGTCGTTACAATATTATTTGAATGTACGAATTCGTTTCGAAAAGAATTTAGAATGTTTTTAGGGATGAGCAAAATTGAGTACAAATCTTCAGAACTAACCCAAGAAACAATTTAATATTTTATAAAAACTAAAAAGATGTTTATAAAACAATATTTTTAATACTGAATAGTATCTAAGACTTTGGAAAAATGTTTATTAAAACTTTTATAGGTGTGTTACAGTTTCAAAATTCCTACTAAATATTACTCTTCGAACTAGTAAGAAAAATGCATCTCTTATGCAAATGAAACGTTCAATATTAATAGTATTTAAAATTTATATAAATTATCCTGTAAAGAAAATAAATCTAAAGCCTGATGACATTTTATAGAGTCGTTTATCTCGCCCAGCTGATTCTGGTTACCTGAAATTTAAAATAAAACATACCTTTAATATTCGGAGAACCTAAATCTAAGTCCTGAAGTTACTGACCTTCTTTAATTAGATTTTCCATTTTAATATTCTGTTAATTATATTCTTCTGTTCATTTTTCTTCATGTCGTTGAGATTTTCTATCCTAAAATAAGTAATAATATTTTTAATTATTTTAATAATAGATGGGTTTGTTTATTATTGTGTCACTTGTCCTTGTGTCATTGGTCATTCAATCCACCAGATTGACAAGATTTGGTTCTGGGTGAACTAAAGTACAGTTAGAACTAGACAATGGGCATATACTAGTTATTGTTTAGAAATAGAAAGAGGTAGGTACCTTTTTTCAACATTTTTAAAGAGAACTTGAACTCTGACTTTCAACCTCTTCTTGGAGTTGATTTGGTCACTCTCTAACAGGACTTGCTAGGCTGCAGAAGGTTCTGTATCTACTTTTTTGGATGTTGGATGTATTAATTAATATATAAATAAATAAATAACCTCAGACCCCTTTAAAACCAAAACAAAATTTGATGTTTTTTATGTAGTACTTAGGTACAACAAAAAATTTGAATGATTATAATGAAATTTGTACCAAATGGAAGATCAAGATATTTTATTTAATATTAATTAAAGTCGCCTTTGTTTGCTTATATACCAATATTAACTAAATTAATTTTTGTATCAAGACTCCTTCAAGATTGAGATACATTAAAATAATAAATTATAGAGTCCCACAAGGAACTTTTCTTGGACCTATTCTATTCTCCATTTACATTAATAGTTTACTTACCACAAAATAATTCAGGCCAAATTTATATACATAGATCGAACATAAGTAGATTTGTAATTAAAGGCACAGAGCGATATTGGTGCCTTATTGAACTTTATATATAGGAAAATATAGGAAACTTTTAAGTAATGAAGGAATGGTATTTGAAATTGAGATAGCAGAGATCTCAAAATACTTGTTAGTTATCACCTAACATGGAATATACATGTAAAACACATTTTCACAAGACTGAGATTTCTATTTTTAAAAGTTAAGTTTTTAAAACAAATTGAAAATAGAATAGTGGTAGAAGATGGTAGAATTGACATAAACGTAGAAATATTAAAGTGTGTAACACGTAAAAAATTACTATTCTAGTTCATTCTTTCTAAAATATACAGAAATAGTAATAATTATCTTCGCCCTCTTCTAAAATGCAGATGGAAAAATTTTCCTAAGTACTTTTTAAATAATAATGTTTTCTATTTTTTACAAATTGATATATATGAAATCGTGTTGTTCTGCTAGTTAATAGTAATTCAAAACCTTCAAAGGGCGTATATAATGGGACTACAATTGTTGCAAATCTACCACTGTGATTAACGTTAATTCCAGCTGTACGACGCGCTAAATCGGGATTAGCAGGACAAGTGTTGCTTGTCAGGAATTGAACGCATTAATAGAAAAAATATTAAAAAAATATATAATAAAATGTAGTTAAGTGAATTAATTTGAAAAATATTTTTTTTTAGGTTTGTCATACACTGTGTTAACTCTGCGTTCCTCACTTCATTAGAATGGTATAGAAATACAATGGTATTGATTAGAGAGAAATATAATAATAACAATAAAAATATCCTGTCCTTGTCATTGAAAGGCAGTGGTTAAATTAATTGCTCCCTTTATGTGTCTCACGTCCAAATATAGTTGTAACTCATCTTTTATTCTAAAAACGTACTGTATAACTGTATAATGTATAATAGTATCATGTGTTAAAATTATCTACATTAGACGTAACTAATTAGGTATAAAAAGCTTTTTTATTATTACAATTGTTATTATTATTTTCGTTTGCTATTCTTGGGATGTAGGTTTACTTGATTTTAAATAAAACTGCAGTTCAATAATTATTGTTTGTGAAGCTTTCGATCTCTGTTCAATACTTTTTTATTAGAATGTTGTCTACAGCTGCATTACAAACTTTTAACCACGTTTCAGAATTTAAATATTTTAATTCTACTTCTAAATAATTTTTCTTAGTGTGTATTAAATTCATATTATATTTTTTGCTTATTCGTGAATAGTTAAGCTATAGATACAGGAATGTGGTAAAAAAAAAACTTCACAATAATGACTGGTTTTATAAAAACTACCAGCCTCATTATTATAAAGAAAAGATAGCATTTCAGCTTCACTCAGTTATGCATAGCTTATTTATCTATGTAGCAAAAACAGAAAAAGTGTACAGCAAACATTTAAAACAGTCTTTAGCCTAGCGGGCGTACGATGCCAGGACTAGAGACAAAAACGAGCGTGAAATGGTCATTGAAATGCACAATGTAGCAAAAAAGTGGAATAAAAGTTTTATTATAAAAGTTTCAGAGTTGAAAAACATCACATAATTGTGCGGTCTGAGGATGAAGTACTAGAATGGAAATGAAATTAAAACTATTATAAGTAAAAATTATGCCAATAAACCTATAGAAATAAAAAAAAAGAAAGGATAATGTATGCACGATTTTACTTCTGACAGATCAAAACGGTCATTATTGCTTTAAGTGGTTTCCATAGATATGGAGGAGGGGAGATAGGAACTGTCATTTCAGAAAACGTTTACACAAGGAGAACCTGCCTAGGTAGCGGAGTGTCTGCGCAGTTGAGTGATTCCAGGAATGTACTCAGTACAATGTTGTCCATTGTACTGTAAACAGTAAAAAGTCTATTTCCCAACTCCTCTCTAACATTTCGGAAAACTTTTACCGGAAATTGACCGGCATGCTTCTGTAATTCGCTTTTTAAGATCATCAATATCAGTAGGTTGTGTTTCATAAACAACGGATTTAAGGTGTTCCCAAAAAAAAAGTCTAAGGAAGTTAAATCAGGTGATCTTGGGGGCCATTCAATTGCTCCCCTTCTGCTAATCCAAGGGCCTGGAAATTTTTGAGAGACATGAAGAAAAAATGAGGTATAGCAGCATCCTGCTGGATTTGTAACAAATCCTTCTGTAAAACTAAATTACCTTCTGCATTAGTTTGTTTCTAGCTCAAGAGTTTATAAGAGGATGAATAATATCTTCAAGCATATTAAGGGACAGATCGCCTTGCAAGTTTCCTTCATTAAATAAAGAACCAATAATTGGGTATGCCCTTCTTGAATAATATGCGGGTGTTCGTCACTCCAGTACCAACATTTGTGTTTATTAACATTGTCATTTAAAAAAAAATGAGGATTCATCTCTGAAACAGATATTCAGCAGAAAATTAGGATTAGATTCTTTTATCAAAATCATCTTCCTAGAGCTCTTAAAGTATTTGCATTTTATAGGGATGAAATTTATGCATTTTTAGTGCTCTTCTTACAGTCTCGCGTGATATTCCCGTCTGTTCTGCTACTATTCGTATGAACCTAGTTGGCACTGCGACAAATGTTCCCAAAACCTCAATCAGAGCTTCTTCATTTGGTACTCGTCGGTTATTTTTCACCGAACCAGTTTCCAAAAAATTTTCTACCAAATCGAGAATATACCTATAACTTACATTACGATTACGATGCCTTTCATTTAAATGCTGTCCTTCGTGCGCATTTTCCAACCTCTTCATAAAGGATCATTATTTCGATTCTTTCTTATAGAGAGTAAACCATTTTTGCTATAGAATTTACAACCATTGTTATCTCATGACCACAAATGAATACCAGATGCTTACCGACTACACTATCGAGTCGAATATTGTAGACAACGAGTGAAATATTTATTAAATTATTATACCTATCAAAACTTAATCTTTGAAATAAAGACAAATTTAAGATTAGACTGGGGACCAATGAAGAAAACAAAACTAGGTACTTATTATTTGAACTATTTTTTTTATTTGAAAATCTTGCAAGGTGCTACAGAATACAAAAATATTTAACAAACGTTGCTAGTATTTTAATAATAGTATCATGTGTACAAATTATTAAAAAATTAATGAGACACTTAATTCAAAGAATTTAGGTAATATTTGAAAATCCTTGAAAAAAAAAACATATTGCAAGTAGTTATTTTAATATTAGTATTAGGGGTACAAATTATAAGAATTGAGTAACATTTTGTTCAAATAAAATCTTCAGGACATAAACAAATACAAAGAATATATAACATTTAATTCAAAGAAAACTACTTATTTTTAAAAAATCTTTAGGATACTAGACATGTACGGAATTTTTAACACAGAAGGTATAACTTACAATCAGTTTAACAAAGTTTAATAGGAACATGCAGATAACAAAGGGAGGCTACTGTTAGAAAGCATCGATATGGTTTCAACTTATGCTCTCTCCACTACATACATCGACACAGATTTAGATGTTACGAGTGACAGAAGTCTCTGCCTGATATGCGCAGGTTCCTAATTCAAATTGCTTTATTGTTAAAAAAATACATCTTATTGACAAAGACGTCAAAACATATATACATATTTAAAATTAAAAAAAAAGTGTATATTTTTTATTTTTCCAAAATTTAACGGTTTAAAAATATGTTTTTATAAAATTCGATATTAAAATCAGGATTTACCTGTCCATATTGAGAGTCGTTTGTTTGTTTCAGGTATCGAAATAGTCACCAGACAGTCCTTTCTTTCCGATCCAACGGATGCCGTCAGAAATCTCAGGAGACAGGATTCCCGAGTAGTCGTAGGCCTTTTTTACGTAGTCGCAGCAAGAAGAGTTCTCTGCGAACTTTACAAACAGAACCTTTATGGAAAACAATATACCTGGTTTTTTATTGGTACGTATATGAATTAACATATTAATAAATGTCTAAAGTTAGATGTATTTGTTTAAATGAGGTATTATTAGTACTTTTTTTTTTGTATTATTGTTATAAAGAGTTATCTATAAAAATGTATCTCATTTAAACCATAAACAAGGTAAGACATATAAAGGGACTAAATGAATATTTCAACTTAAAGAAATAACTGAAATTGTTCTTGCAGAAAGGAAAACAATATCCGGTTACGTATCTCTCGGTTTTTTTAATAATTCATTGGATGTTGAAAGAAACAATATTATTCTTTCCATTCTCACTAGCCAAAGAATGACCCTTCGCGAAGTTTTATTGGCAGACAGAGGGCGATCAAGAATAAAAATTTATGGAAAATTATTCTCCACAGCATCGTTTATCCAAATTTTGATCCATATAAATGCTCAATTTCAGCATTTGACTTATTTATATTAAAACCAATATTTTGACAATAACTATACGATATGATCGCCCTTAATACTTTTTTATAAATAGAAAATATTCGAAAGATGGTCAAAGAGAAATTTTATTACTTAACTGAGCGACTTACAAGAAGCAGTTATATTTATATCTGCCAAATTTAATGACTTAGTCGAAGAAAATAAGAGTGTTCTTAATGAACTAAGAACACTTAAAAACGAGAACATTGCTCTGTTGTTGGAATTAAGCTTCTTGATAAAATGTCGATACTTTTCTGCATTTACAGTACCATCAATGAATTCATAATTGCCAACTTCTTTACTACTCATACATCCCCATATCATAACCCCCTTGGGAAATTTTACAGTACGCTTTAAGCAGTCTTTATGAAAATCTTCGGTTTTTGTACGAATTACCTTTTTCGAAAATCCCAACGCATATATCAAATTTCGATTCATCGCTGTAGATGACATTACTCCACATTTCCGTTGTCCAGGATATTTTGGATTTTACCCAATCCAAACGTTTTTTCATTTGAATAGCTGTCAGTAATGGCAAAAGAAGCGAAACTGAATGAGTTTTCGTATGTACCAAAGCAAGGGAACTTAATACACTGGGAAACGTATAAAAATTAACCATTTTTAGTCGTTTGGTTCATAAGAATTAAACACAAACTAAAGTAACAATGACAGAAAATTCTTACTATGTTCATTATGTCAAATATATTATTTTAATAGGTGACAGTCACTACACAATAGCGAAAGTTGATGACGGTCATTCTGCAAATATCTCACCGAGTTATATCTTCCATAAGCCATATAAAGTTATAACAGAAGAAATAGAAGAGCCGGAAGTGGCAGGTATAATATATATAGCTACATAACCACATAAGGTTAAAAACTACTGGATACTTACCATACGTATTATTTACTTGAAAAAACAGAAAATTAATTATCTGACAGATAGTAACTCTCAGATAATATATCCGTCAGTTAGTTATCTGGAACTTTATCTGAAGGTGAAAAGACCGACCCTAATGCTGGTAGTTTGACCTTAATAAGTTTTTCGAATAGTTTTCCCAAAACTGGAAGAAGGTTGATTGGTCTGTAATTATCAATTCTTTTGTGGTCTGTGCCTGGTTTTGGGATAACTATGATGGTGTCTTTTTTCCATTGATCTGAAAAGTACGAGGTTTTTGTAACAGAATACAAACATTTTTATAATATAGATATGTATATTATATTCTAGTTTTATAACAATTTGCCATGGGATAATATCTAATCCTGGAGCTAAGTTTTTCTGATTGGATAGTCTCTTCCTCATTGGGTTGTTTCTAGAATATAGTTTGCACCATTAGTTTACATTATTCCAATTTTCTTGTTCAAAAGATGGGTCTTTCGTTCCGTTATATCTTTTAATGAAAATCTCCTTGAATGCATCGGCCTTTTCTTCTATGACTACATTTTCAAAAAATTATATTTGACAGCTCTGTAAATATATCTTTTTCTACTTATGCATTGAACAAACAGCGTCCAAAAGGGATTATATTCAGGAAAATTTAGTATCACCTAATATCCCGGAGGTGCTTTAAGCCTTGGTTTCTGAATACATTGTAAATTCCTTTTCTCTGAAGGTTCAGTAACAGCGGTGGTAGTATGTCAAATTCGCGGCCTTTATCTGTGTTTCAATTAAGAAGCGAATGTGGCCGTAGAGAGAAAGTTTCCGAAAATTTTGTGACGTACGTAAAGTGTTAACAGTCGATCAGTGGCGGCTCGTATGAGAAGGCAAAAGCGATTAAAATAGTTAATTACAAACTACTATTAGTTTCTTGTCATTTAAGAGCCAGTTTTTTAATAAATGTTTAAACTAAGTTCAACAAATGAACTTAGTTTAATTGAAAGATGATGTATTTCAAATGTAGTTTACATCTGAATTTAAACTATTCGAAAAGTTGAACTGTCAAAGTTGGAGGTTTAAACTAAGATCAATGTTTTGACATAATATAAATATATTTCACAATTTTTGTACTATTTTTCTGGAACATATATAAATATATATATATATATTAACTCTGGGATTTAGGATTATATTAATCACTTGATAAATTCACGACAGCTGCCAGTATCAGATTCCTGGACTCGTATTGTATACCTGGAGAATCCTGGAAGAAAAACCAGAAAATTACTAGCTACTAGTTACTATCGGGACGGTGGTGTAGCTGTCTATCGCGCTTATATTCATTTATAGGCAAGTTTATGAGTCTGAGACTGCTGGGTTTCGAATCCCAGACCAGACCATGTGGATTTTAAATTAAATTGCATAGTTCGGTTTAGGATTTGATGTGTGGCGTATTAATAGAAATTCAATTTCTGTTGATATGACATGCAGATTAAAAAAATTCGCCATACATTACCGTCTCGATGATGGTGGGTGAGGTTTTCCGGGTTTTCCTCACCTGTAAGTCAAATGGCACCATCAATCATCTTTAAGTCGCCCCAGAGCGCCACGGCAAATAATAATAATAATAATAATAATAATAATAGCCGTCCTTTCCCCTACACAAGTCGTTCAGTCGACTTCAGGGGTTGAAATTCACTCGTAAGGGGGTGAATTAGGGAGAGTATTATTAATATTATTATTATTATTATTATTATTAATTATTCAAATAAGGAATACCAGACTTACTGAATATCCTTTAGGAACATCCATATTAATAGGCCCTTAATATACCAAGGGTATTTTTTTTTGCTGTCCCACACCGTATATTGATACAAATTGGCCTTTCCTTCAAAGAGTAGTACAAGAAAAACCTTTTAAAATTATAAATTGGTTTAATTATAGACTCTTAACAGTTCAACAAAAAGTCCTAGCTTCCCTTTTTTATCCTGTATAACAAACCCTTCATTCATTATGATAATGAAACCATTGAAATCCATAGTCTTGATAACATTAAATATTTGGAAATGTATCTTGGTAATCATATCAATTCAGCATCTCATGTTTACATTTTAATGTCTTTTTAAGGTTCTTACCATAAATAAAATGCAAACTATTTACAATTTCTTGTTAGAAGTCACCTTAATTATGACTTAGATCTTAGATTTTATTAATTATCAAGTCAAATAATTATTTAGTTACCAAATTATTTTATCGATAGAACACAATGCGTGAGAATCAACCGCCTACAGCCACAGCTGACCACACACACTCGACACTCAAGGCGACTCACTTCGTTCTGCCTGGGGAGGTTTGTTTCCCCACACCTCCTGCTCTTGACTGCCGTTGTTCTATTCATTATATTACAATGAGTAATCACATAAAAATTTGTTTACCTGCTAACATATATTTATATGTAATTAGAGAATTTGACGATACTAAAAATTTTAAATATATTAGAATAATGTATCTATTTATCTTTAAACTACACTTTCCAGGAGTTTAGTCTTTCATCTTACCTCGAACTAAATTTTAGTTTGACCCTAAATTTGCATAGACCTTTTCGAGGTCATTAAACGGTAAGGGCTTATCGAGCCTTAATTTACATATAGCCCTTTAATCTTATCAGCTTAAAAACTCTCAACAAAAGTTTTAAGTTTCCTAAGAAAAGTTTTATTTGTCCCTTTAATTAGGAATTTGGAAGTAAATTGATAGTAAAATACCATTAGTGGTAATTATTCGCATTTATAATCAGCCAATAGAATAATTTCAAAGTGAAAATAATTACTTATATTTGAATATCACACTGAAGCTGTGTTTGCCACAGCTTCGGTGATTTTTTAAATTAATTCTTTATTTTTTTCATTCTCGGGGCTACAAGCAAAAGACACTAAGTCAAAAATGTGTCAAAATGAGTTTATATTTTTGTATACCATGTAAAAACAGTGTATTGTATTCTGAAAGCATGTACATTTTCTTTGAAGCAGTTGATAATCCCTAAATAATTTATAAAAAAAATGAGAACTTCATTGAACCTTTAAATTACTTATACCTCATAGACCTATTTTTTGACTTAATGCCGCGTTCTAGTCATTATTGTATATTTTATTTGTTTTTAAATAAGTAATAATGGTTGGTTTGTTGGTTACAGGTTGGTACGAAGATAACTGGTTCGAAATAATGATAGAAAAAGAAGGTATAGAATGTACAGTCGAACAAATGCGAATGGCGGCCGAAGGTCACATCACCACCGAGGCCTTGATGTGGAACCAGAATCGTATGGAACGCACAATTTCCGGTATGACGTCAGAGGATTTCCGGTTGCGTTTGAACGAAGTGCTGCGTCGCGAGGGATACGACATCGCCAATCAGAGGTATCCGGAGGGATACCAGGAGGCTCCGTTGGCTTATGATGCTGTCTGGAGCGTCGCTTTAGGTAAGTGTTTATGTTATTTATATAAATTAATCTATATAAATAATTTGAAGGTAATTATTGTGATTTAAAAGCTACTTTGTAAGATTTTAAATAGTGTTATAGGATATAGTTATAAAAATGGCAACAATTTTGTGACATTTTAATTAGCTAATCAAAATGGTTTATATTTGAGAAGAAGGAATTAATATTTACCTAAAATAAGGTATTAGAAGTTTATTTACTCGAAAATGGTACAAAATACGAGTAATATATTGTTTTGCCAAGTATTTTTTTATTTTTTTTTTTTTTTGAATAAATTTTTTAACATTTAATATCTCTAAATTACATTGTAAATGTCAAAAGTCATTGTGACTTAAAAAGAGAAGAAATACCTAGGAATGAGAGTGATTTTAACTTGGTCAAATTGAACTAAACCGTTTACATGTTCGTCTTCAATAAAACAATGTTGCAATTGTTTCAGTTAATTTATAACCAAATTGTTCGAATGGCGGCATATACAGTAAATTTTTAAATATTAACAAATGTTTTCTAAAGTAATTAGGCAAAAATAAAAGACTGTATTTTGATTTTAAATAATACAAAATATATTGAAAACTTTTAAATAATTGTTAAATATTACCTATTTAAATATACATTAAAAGTAAAAGAACTTATAGACTCCATTATGTTTTATCGAACTCTAAACCTATTTTTACTTACAAACAATTCTTGAAACTATTATTATTCAATGCTGTAACTTGTTATTGACATTTAACTTAAAAATAATAACTAATTCTACATAAATGATATATTTCATAAAGAAAATAAAGCAATATTATTATTTTACTGACTATACGGTATATACCCGAAGATCCTACACAAAGCCGAAGAGTTAAAAGTTTCAAATTAATTTAAAATTAAATTAATACAGCACTCCATTAGAATAACGACGCGGCCTCTTTCTTTCTGGCTTGGAACTTGTTCATTTAATTTTCTAACTGTAGAAACTGTTGAGAGTTTAGTTTCATCAACTAACTTTCGCTTTGTACGTAACGAAACAAGGGGTGACTTTTCGATGTTAAATAATAATCATTTTATGTGTTCGCTTACTGTACAACGTACATCAAAGTTTAATAAATTCAAATAAAAAATGTTAACTGACTTTGTTAGAAATGCCACAAAACTCTATTAATAAAGAACTCATAAATATATTGATTTTGGTTGAATTATAGGATAGTTTCATTGAAGAAATTAATAATCCTGAAATAAGAAAAGGTTTTTCTTGTTTTTTAATAAAAAACATTTTTTTAAATTGTTTTTAGTTAATGTACCAAATTCCTTTGTCCTCTGAGGTGTCCCAACTATAATTAAAAAAAAATTATTTTATAACTACAAAACCTAAATGGAATTAAAAAGTTTAACCTGCTGATCTAAAAGAGGTCGTATCTACAAAATGAATATGTAGTCCAGGGCATTTAGATCAGATTCGATGGAATAGCGGACATTTTTAGGGACAGCAGATATCGAGATGCGGTTTTCTGCATTGTATTCAGGAAGGTCTCAGGAAAAAAAGCTATATCGTCTGGTTTAGCCATTTTTTGAAAAATGTCTTCTGGGCCGGAAAATGCATTTTTCAATTGCATCATTACTTGCACCATTAGAGGAACGACTGGAAATTCGGAAAAATCGATCGGAAATCGTTACTCGGGAGTTTTTGGGGCTGCCGAACTTGATTCTGGCATTAGAATTATCCGGGGGTGGCTTTGTGGGGGTGCGCGGGGGATTAGGGGAGAAATGGCAGCGTTCATGAAAATTGCTCCAAACTCGTTAATCGGGGGTTTTCGGGGATGCCGAATTCAATTATGCCGTTGGAATTACCCGAGAGCGCTCGGGGGCGGCTCTGCGGGGGTATTCGGGGGGGAAATTGAATAGTCCATGGGAAGCGCTCCAAACTCGTTACTCGGAGGTTTTCGCGGATGCCAAATTCAATTCTAGCATAAGATTTCCGCGGGAGCGCTCGAGAGTGGCTCTGTGGGGTTGTCTGGGGGTAAGTGGGAGTGGAGAAATGGCAGCATCCATAAAAAATCACTTGGGGATTTTCGGGATGCCGAATTTAATTCTGGCCGGGGGTGTTCAGGTGTGGCTTTGTTGGAAATAATAAAGGAAAAAGTGAAAAATCACAAATTATGAAAATAATACTTTATTCAAATAACAAATAGGAGTTTTTAATAATGTTGAATTATTCATTATAAACTTAGATTTTTATATTTAAATTCCAGTTTCCACTTTTTTCGGCGAATATGAAATCTTTAAGAAGAAATACCATCCGACAATAGGTTATTCACAATTTACAAGTACTATTATTAATTTAAATTTTTTCAAAAATGTTTTCAATTGCGTTTACCAAGTTTTGAAATTCGTCAGATTTCACTAAATCGTCCACGCTTCTTAGCAGTTCATAAAATTCACTTCTCAGGTCTTCAAGTGCCGATTTGAAATCGTCAATTACCTTGGCAACAATAAATATTTGTTTAACAATTGCAGCTAAAGCTAGAGTATGACACCGTACTGACCGAGAGTATTGCTTTCTCATAACTACGCATTTGCAACTCAAGAACGATAAAAGAGTAGGAAACCTGCCAAGTCTGATAAAGATGTGAATATCGTTCAAAATAAGCTTTGCCGCCACAATATCGCAGGATTTCCAATATAACTATTGCATGGTGCCATTTCACCCCCCGCGCACCCCCACTGAGCCACCCCGTGCCTCCGGAGAAATCTAATGCCATAATTGAATTCGGCATCCCCAAAAACCCCCGAGTAACGAGTTTGGAGCGCTTCCCATGGACTACGCAATTACCCCCCCAGAATGACTCCCCGGATACCCCTACAGAACAGCTTTCGAGCGCCCTCTGGTAATTCCAATGCCAGAATTAAATTCGACATCCCCGAAAACCTCCGAGTAACGAGTTTCGAGCGATTTTCATGCACGCTGCCATTTCTCCCCCAATTCCTTCCCCCACGTACCCCCACAGAGCCACCCTCGAGGAAATATTATGCCAGAATTGAATTCGGCATCCCCGAAAACCTCAGAGTAACGAGTTTGGAGCGCTTCCCATGGAATATGCAATTTCCCCCCAGAATGACCCTCCGAATACCCCCACAGAGCCGCCCCCGGGTGATTCCAATGCCAGAATTGAATTTAGCATTCACTAAACCCCCGATTAACGAGTTTGGAGCGATTTTTATGCATGCTGCTAATTCTCCCCCAATTCCCCCCGTACACTCCCCCACAGAGCCACCCACGTGCACCTTCGGATAATTCTAATGCCAGAATCGAGTTCGGCAGCCCCAAAAACTCCCGAGTAACGATTTCCGATCGATGTTTCTGAGTTTCCAGTCGTTCCTCTAATGATGTAAGTAATGATGCAATTGGAAAATGCATTTTCCGGCCCAGAAGGCATTTTTCAAAAAATGGCTAAACCAGACGATGTAGACTTTTTTCCTGGGACCTTCCTGAACACAATGCAGAAAACCGCATCTCGATATCTGGTGTCCCTAAAAATTTCCGCGATTTTTCCTAACTTCCCTGGACCAATGTAATGAATATGAATAGTAAATGTGAATAGGCAGATAATTACGTCCTTTTAGATTTCGCAAATAAATTTTGCATATTTTACTAACCTTTTCTTATAATTATAGTAAATATTTTCTAAAGCAACTAGACCTTTATTATTTGGTGTCATAATAAAATAAAATGTAAGCCTAAAAAAATTGTAAGAATCTTGAAATCGGAATTTTCATAGATACGACCTCTTGTCTTAGCAAGGCCGAAATCGTTTTTCCAGTATTATACATTTTTTTTACTTCTATTCCAGTTTGTTTCGTGTTCTTATAATTATAAATTTACTTAAATATAACACTTAAAAAAAAGTGAACTAAATTTACATTTAAATATTGCTACCAGGTCGCTTTTTTTTTCAAAGTATTTACAGTTAATGAAATATTTTGTATAAGGCCAGTTTTAGGTTCTTCTTCCTATATTATGGCTTTAAAAATTTCCCTCGCAGTATCTGAACGTTTAGATATTAATACTACGTGTACAATCTTATTTCATCATAATCAATCTCAACATTTTTTACCTATCGTCAAAATTAAAAAAAAAATCTCCGTACTCTATTATGAAAACATTTCAATCCTTTGTTATTTTCTCTTATCTTTCACATTGACAACCTCGCGTGCAGTCGAAATCTGCTGTATAACAAGCTGCACACCTAAGCTAATTTTAATTTTTAATTAAGTCTTTTCATTTTTTGCGTTGTTTCGTTTTTATTATTTTTGCACGTTTTTTTTTTTCTCGTTGATTAAAGACAAACGAGTTTACCTGCAGAATTTCCTCTTTGTTTCAGCTTTTAATAAAACAATGGATCGGCTGCACAAGTACGGGAAGAGTTTAAAAGACTTTAATTACAACAACAAAGAGATTGCCGATGATATTTATTCTGCAATCAATTCGACGCAGTTCTTGGGTATATCGGTAAGTAGAGTTACTATTTATTTATTTAATTAATTATTTGGGTTATACAGGAATGCAATAGACAGGTATAGATAAGGTATATGGGTGATTGCCTCAAAATGACCAACAATCAAGATTATATTTTGTTCGAAAAAGAAAAGCAAAATTTGTATGAAAATTCTTGACAAAATGTTTTACTTAGTGACTAACAACAACACAACAACAGACACATTTGTTTTTTTTATTATTGTTTGAATTATTAGGTTTCTTATTAAATTTGGTAACAGGGAAATGTCCTTTTTGTCTGCCCAAAATATGTCACATTTTCTATCTGCAGCCTTTAAACACATCACAGAAACCTCTCCATCTTCCTTTAAGTTACCATGACAGGCAGTAACATAGCGATACCGTGTTTGTTTATTTGTAATAAAGTTAGTTGAAACAAATGTTCCTACTTTTATATTTTTTTTTTCGTTACTTCGTTAAGGGCAATGGCATCATCATCGTCAGAGGTGTATACTTCTGTGTAATGCAGTCGTTTCTTATTACTTGTTGACGGGATATTTTTCAAACTTTCAGAAGAATAATTTCCGCTGGACTCATTACATAATGACTACAAAAATTGTTAGGGCCACATATAAAGCAGCTCAATTTTCTAAACCGCAGTGAACGAGTTTCAGATGACCCTACAACTTGGTTTACTTTCATAGAGCCGACAAATAGTTTTATAGCATCGCTGGTTTCCATCATACATCAGCGATATCCTGATGGGAAATAACATGCAAAGAAACACCTTTACAATGTTGTTATAATTTTTCTATTAGTTGATCTATGCTGGAAATATATTTTCCTTGTCCAACCACTCTGTCTGCTGTTCGTTTACAGACTCCACCGATCCCATCTAGAGCACCTTTACCATGCCCTGTTTCGCTGTAATTGTAAGTGACATTTATAAGTTTTGGATAAAACAGCAAGAATGTAAAACAAGGTTTTGTTACGATATTGTGTCGCTGGACTATCACTTTAAAAAACGAATTCTATCCACATTAAGCTCACTTAAAATAAAATGAAAAATTGGACACAAATGTGCCCATCTCCACACATAATGTCATCTATAAAAACTACTACATTCTTATCAAGTAGTTCACCTAAGGCATCCTGCATTATTCTTTGAAAATGTGCATTAGAATTTTTCTATCAAAAGGGAAGCCCTTTAAATTCATAATGCCCATCTTCTGTCACAAACGCCTTATATTTCTGTCATTTTCGATATACTTATATTCCAAAACCCATCATTTAGATCAAATTTTGAGAAAAATTTACATCCGCCAAATTTTTGAATGATTTCATCACCGATTGGAAAAGGAAATGGATCTTATTCACTTTCCTCATTAATCAATACATAATCGAAAGTCACCATCATATTTTGTGTTTAAAACACACGGTGAAGCAAAAGGAGATATTGACTTCGTAATTATTTTGTTTTTAAGTAACTCATTAACCTTATTTTTGCGTTTTCTTTTAAATTAAAATCTATTTCAAAGTTTGAAGGTTTTCAATCATTATATTTTAGTAAATTTGTAAAAATTTTTGATATATTGGAAATTTATTTTTTATTTACTAATTCTTCATCAATCAGATTAATATCAGATCCAGTATCAAAGAGTACTTTCACTTTTGGACCATTTAAAAGTAAATACTCAAAGTTATCTCCATTTGTTAGAGAATAACTGGAATAAATTTCAATAATATTTATTTGGTATTCTGGTTCAATTTTGCATTCAACATTACTAGCCTTAAACACATTTTTACTTTCACATCTAATGTCTTTATTACTGCTTAATGGTTGGCCTTGCATTTAAGAATCTCTTGAACACTGTCTCTCAGGATATTTACCAACCGTTAAGGATTTTATTAGTTGGAAAGTTTGTCTTTAGAATTGATAATTTTGTCTCTTAACTGTTTCTGAACACCAGTGGGAAGACCTAGAATTATCATTGTCACTAATGAAAGTTCAGAAATGTTACTATCTGCCCATTTCATTAATTTTTGTTTTTCGTAAAAGTATTCTAGGATATTACCATTATAATATTTATAATTCACAGCTTCCTCCCATTTTAAAACAATCTTTTTATCAAATGTATTGATAAAACTAAGTTTCCAATTTTACCATGTTTATTGATTTAGTATACAATCTTGGATTCTATCTTCGTACCACCTTAATGTAATGCCTTTTAACTGATTTCTTAGATTAAAAATATTCTCATTATCCGTAATCCATTTATTAGCTGAACAAATATATTCATACGAGCTGAGCCAAGTAGAAGGATTCTCACCTGCCCCATCGTATTGAGAAATTTTTATAGGATCTGTTTTAGTTTAAGTTACAAACGTCATTCATTTTGACATTAGCTGATCCAACTCATTTTTTCCAGAAGCAATATTGTCTTGGGTACCTTTATCTCCTTTACCATAGTCAATTTGGATAATTGGTTCGTTTTGTTCTGACTGCGCCATATTATAGAGAATTATTTAAAGGGTTTCTAAACAATTCTTGATTTTAGATCAAGTTTGATAATTTATTTAATATTACAATTCTTCGACCTAATCCATTTCCCTGGAGACCGCTACAAGACATCCTCTTACAGGATGATCTATTACAAATTACACCTGAAATATAAAGAAACAAATGACATACCATGGTCTCGAAGAAAAATAAAAAAACCTAGACAGAAAAAGGTAAAAAAAGTTCATAAAAGAAATTTAGAAATACTTACGAGAAAAAAAGAGTGTAATATACAAGAAATTCAAGGTTTTCACAAAACAACGAGTGTTTCAGTTTCCTGTATGAAAATTTCTGCAATGAATGATGATGTCACTCATAACAAGTGTGTGAATCGGTTCTTTAACTAAGGTATCTAAAATTTCAAGTCTTATTATTAACACGATCATATCTTTTAGACAGAAAGTTAAAAATCTCAAAATGAGGTCATAAGAAAATATAAGAAAGAAACCATCATATTTTGAAAAAAATTTTTGTTCTTCAAAAAATGTCTTAAAATGTTTCATGAAAAAGCAATTATTGTTTCTAACTAGAATATTAAAACTGGGAAAAACGCCGTATGTATTATAATACTTTCGATCATTCTCATCTCTGCCCATAGTAAAACTTGTTATCAGGATCTCTATGTTGTACTAAAAATTTCGCCTTAAAAACCCAATTCGGTGGATAAATATCTCCACCAAATTATGAACCAACACCTTTGTAAATTGTAAATTTTGGTGGAGTCGCCTTTCATAGCTATGTATTATGTACCCAATCGATTTCGCGTATCCACCAAAATTTTAAGTAAATAACTTTAAATGTAAATTATGGTGAAAGCGCTACAAAATGTAATGTAGCTAAAAATAGCCTATACCTATTTGTACCTATCCAATAATTTTATTAGAAAATTACAGTAAATTTAAACACATTTTTCTGTGTCGAAAATAAGCCGATAAGCTAACTTGTTTTTATTAAAAATTGATAGTTAAAAATTACGAGTTGTTAAAACAGAAATTTTAGAAGTGATTTTGAGCTTTAAAACGGCTTAACATATTTTTATGGGATGTTAGTATACAGTGACTATAGGTTTTTAGAAGGTTTCCGCACCTATTTGACCTCCTACTTTTTTAGACAATGAAACTCAGTTAAAAAAAGACGCCACTTAAATCAATCCTACATCTGTTTTTTTGTCTTCTAATATTCGTTTGTCAACGCCTTTAATACGGTCATTGTGAAAAATATTCATAATGAAATTTTTCTTTTAATCTTGTATCAGTTTAAATTTGTATCTTCCACTACTTATGTAAAATTTTGGATTTTTAATTTCTCGGGAGTTTAGGTGGTTTCTGTACGATGTTGCCAAATTTAATTAGGCACATTATTGGACTGCATTTAACGTAAAATATTATTAATTCATTAAATAAGGCTATTTAACGTAAAAATATTGTGTTTGTAGGGTTCATTAAGTGATTATTATGATTAGGATATACCACCACATAATACCAAGTATTTAAAAAATTGAGAAAATCGTAACCTCGCGTCTTCTCATACCCTATATAGGGTGTTTCATTGTGAAAGTGAAATATTTCAACCCTATATTGAGGTCACCCAGGGAATCACAAAATGCCCATATAGTATGGGTCTTGCGATCTTTATAGCCGATTTACAGGGTGTTTTTTTGAATTTGGCTAATTTTTTTCGTGCTCCATTACTTTTGAATGATTCCGTATATTTTGTTGATATTTAGCACAGATAATCTACTCGGTTATAAAAGTCGCAAAACCCATACTAAATGGTTCTTCCGATCATTCTCTACACATAGTCAAATTTTGTTAAAAAAAGTTAAAACCTTCATTGTTATCTGGGTTATATGCTGTACTAAAAATTGCCTTAAAAACCCAATTCGGTGGACAATTATCTCCACCAAATTATGAACCAACAGCTTTGTGAATTGTAAATTTTGGTGGAGTCGCATCATTGGGTTATGCATCAGCGTATACTACAGATTTCGCGCATTCACCCAAATTTTAATTTAAAATATCCTAAATTTTAAATTATCGTGGAAGCACTACTAAGTTTATTATAGCTAAAAATCGCCTTATTATACTTATTTATCTATCTAACACAATCATTTTATATATACAGGGTGTAATAAAAGAATGTTCAATAAATTTAATCACAGTTTCTGGGGTCGAAAGTAAGTCTATTTCATCTAACTTGCTTACAGTCTGTTCGCTATACTTACGCAGGTTTTGGATTTGTATTTCCAGGTAAGTAGCCGAAAGTTTGACCTGTTCTTTGGGGAAATATCAACTGGTTAAATAAAATGAAAAATAATGTACAACTTTTTAATTAAATAATAATGGAGAATCTTTTGTATAATTAAGAGCAGAATTAAACTTCTTCATTAATGGAGTCTAATGTGGCTATTATAAACCTAACAATAATTTTATATTAGACTTCACACAAAAAATAT